TTTATTATTTATTTATGATATATAGTTGATTTATCATATCTGATTATCTGACATTATGCAAAAGAAAAAAAAGTGCGATAAAAGAAAATAATTCCATAAAAACAATTTAATTAATACGTTAAATGAAAACTTTATGAATTTCTCTCTGCTTTGTTGCAGCTTGGCATAATCTATCGAGACATTAAGCTCGAAAATATACTGTTGGATAGAGAAGGACATCTCGTATTGACAGATTTCGGTCTTAGCAAGGAGTTCCTACCGCACGAGAGAAACGGCAACGCGCGCACTTACTCATTTTGCGGAACAATCGAGTACATGGCGCCGGAAGTGGTACGAGGGGGCACGGCCGGCCACGATATTGTGAGTCGAGACCTTATGACATTTGCACATTATTAGCCGATTCGTGTTATTTAACCCTCCTATTCCTCCCCTAGTTTTTAGCTTTTCTCCTTTGATGATAATTTATGATAATTTCAATCTGTTTCTCTCTCTCTCTCTCTCTCTCCTTCTCTCTGTATAATTAAATTTATACAATTTTTATGAATATTATATAATGTGTTTAAAAAGCCACGAAATGTGGGGTATCAAATTAAATTTCCGCAAAAAAAGTCAATTTTAAATTAATTAAATGTGCAAATAAAAGAAGATAATACCATATGAAAACAACATAAATAAGTAAGTTTGATAAAAATACAGTCGTATATATATATATAACATTCATTTTAATTCTTTTATTTCATTTATAATATTCAATCATAGAACAATAAAATAATATTATCATAATATCATTGCAGGCTGTCGATTGGTGGAGCGTAGGCGTGCTAACTTATGAATTACTGACTGGCGTGTCGCCTTTCTCGCTGGATGGCCAAAACAACCAGCAGGAAATTTCGAAGAGGATACTGAGGAACGATCCGCCATCGAAGCCGCTTCACCTGAGTGACACTGTGTGGGATTTCATCACTCGTTTGCTCGTTAAAGATCCGCGAAGGAGGCTGGGCGGTGGACCACGCGACGCCAAGGATCTCAAAGAACATCCCTTCTTCATGGATGCCGCGCCGGATTTCACTTGGGAGGCTCTGGAAAACAAACAGATTAAACCGCCCATTGTTCCACGGATCGAGCATGAATTGGATACCAGCAATTTCTCGGACGAGTTTACAAAAATGCCCGTTACCGAGACCCCGCCGATCATTGAGGATAATAACATTGATAGGCATTTCAGCGTAAGTTCCCTTAATTATATTTCCGCTACCATTCCAGATAGAAGCGTATGCATATCATAACAGTTATATGTTTTATCAATTTGTTTAGCGTTAGAACACGTGCATTAAAATCAAATTTCCCGATTGAGATAATCCTTTGTTGAACAATTCTAAATTGTTTGATGGTAGCGTATCGAGAGAAAGAGAAAGATAGAATATCAAACTCTTATATCTTTCCGCGAGATTTTTCGATAACAGCGCGAGATAAAATTGCAAAATTAAAAAGGTGCGGCGATTTTTCAAAATAAATAATTTTACAGGGTTATTCGTACGTGGCGCCTTCCATATTATTTAGCGACAACGTGCTGAGCAGAGACATTTTCGGCGACAAGAAGCAGCCCTCGCTGCCCGATCTGTACGCCGTGCGTTTCGAAGAATCCACGTTCTTCCAGACGTATGAATTAGACCAAGGAGCGCCGGCTTTGGGCGACGGCAGCTTCTCGATTTGCCTACGATGCCGACATCGCAGTACCCGGCAGGAGTATGCCGTGAAGATTATCAGCAGGAAAGTGGACTGCAACCGCGAAGAGAACTTGCTGCGCGCTTGCCAGCGTCACGCGAACGTGGTAAAGCTGATAGAAGTTCATCACGATCGGCTTCACACGTATATCGTAATGGAATTGCTCACGGGCGGAGAATTGTCGCAACGAGAGCGACCGTTTTCGGAGTTGCAAACGAAGCGAATAATGCGGCAACTAGCGTCCGCGGTGCGATATATGCACGAAAGCGGCATAGTACATCGCGATCTGAAGCCGGAGAACATCGTTTTTGCAAATAGGAGCGAGGATTCGCCGGTGAAAGTAGTAGATTTTGGTTTCGCCCGGACGAAGAACAACTGCGAGCTGTTGCGCACGCCCTGTTGTACGCTTCCGTACGCTGCTCCGGAGATCATAGCCAAGCAGGGATACGACGAGAGTTGCGACATGTGGTCCTTGGGCACTATTCTCTATTTCATGTTGTCCCGCGATCCACCCTTCCGAGCAAATTCATCTCACATGGCGAATCGCATCAGAACTGGCGAGATCGATTTCGACAGCGAGGCTTGGAATCATGTGTCCGCCGCGGCAGTGCAAGTTCTGAAGGGTCTGTTGACAGTTGAACCAAAGAACAGGCTGACCGCGAGAAATCTGAGATATCATTCGTGGATAACGACGATCAACGATGCGACGCTTCCCCCGGCAACGCCTATCGTGGATGTAAATTACGTAGATTACGCTGTGGCCGGCACCTCGACGTCGAGCTCGACGGAGCGCGAGGGCTTCCGATTGCGTGAAGTTGGTGATGCCAAGCTGGCTCAACGTCGCAAGCATAAATGTTCCACTTCTAGCTCCTCGTCACGACCGTCCTCTTCTTCTTCGAGTCCCATGTCATCGATTCAGTTGCGTCCACCGAGCATGGCGAATACCGCGAACAACACTTCCACTTCGTCACCGAGCGTCTTCGATTTCAGCGAGGAAGCAATTAACGAGTACCTGACTTCTTCTTCCTCCGATAATTCTAATTCTCCAACATACTCGTTTTTGCAAAAGCGAGCGATAAAGTATGTCAAGCACAATCTCGAGTTGTCGGGTCGAGAAACGAAGTATCGACATCGACGCGACGTTGATAGTGAGAATAGTAGCTGCAGTAGTAATGGACCAATGACACGATCGCGAAAACGCAAACTAGTAGAACAAATAAGCACAAGCAGAGATGCCAGTTCCGATATTTCTGAATCGTACGAGTCAGAATGCGCCCCCTCGCAGATTGCGCGAGACGAAACGAGCGTCCACAGGAGGCATAAGGCCAGCAAGCGGTCCAAACGCCTTCCCACGATTATAGTCGAATAGTTTTCCTCTATTTATGCTCGGTCCAATAAGTTTTTATCGTTTCCTATGCATTTTACACAATATGTAACACGTTTGCCTTCGGCGTTCGTACAAGACGCAAACATCGCATCATTCCTATTCTCATAAGAATTTTAGAAAATATCATATGCATACATAAAATTAACTATACATAACTACATGCCATCTCCTATTATCTCTAGATCTACATTTATCTATGTAAATGATGATTACATAAGCGCATTTTTTTGTGCTGTTAATATATCTGATACATAAGAAAGATGTAAAACAATACTGTATTATTAAGGTCAGGGTCTCGGTGAAGTATCGATGTTTCTCCGTGAGAGTTTACTCAAAATATGTACAAAATTTTATTTTTAATACTGCTATCAAGAGAGAAGTAAGATGGTGAGGATTTTATTATGTTAAATGGGATTGTCTGTGATTATAATGCGAGATCGATATATTAAGTTATTATAGCTTATACGATAAGTTATTTTAACTTATTACACGCTCCCGTTAAAATTTTCTTCTGCCGTCACTTCTTGCAATTTATAATCTTAACGAAATCAGGATAACGATCGACGAGCCAATATGAAGAAAATTTTAGCGAATACTTATGATGACTGTATATGTGGTGAATGTGCCTAAGAAAACTCATTTAGCTATGAGTACATTAAATTAATGTACTAGAGATTAGTGACGCATGATATAATGTGCAAATAATATAAGCATCTGTTATCTTCACCAGTGGTAGCTTATTGAAGAAAAGAAAGAAAAAGCTAAAAAAAAATAGATTTGCTTAAAAGAGAATGATACATTGTATTTTTCTCTTTTACAAATAACGCAATTGAAAATGATGACGATTTATACGATTTTTAAGACAATTCTATTTAATAATTATTTTAAATCTAGGATTATTAAATATAGAGATCGGAAAAAAAAAACTAAATTATATAACATAAAAAAAACGGTAGGACGGATGGGCGGAATTTTGGGGAAATAACAGATGTTTCTTTGTATCGATATAATCAAACTGCTGCGAGAAAGTGAATTAAATTTGATTAAGTAAGTTATTCTAGATTTTATTAACTATATTATTAGATTTAATTAAGTATAGTTAAATTTATTATTTTGATCTAGTTAGCATTGAAATATTTGATCGAATACCTTTCTCGCAATTTGATTTATATATGTGAGGGTTATGAAAATTGATTTATTAAAACTCTTTCCGCTTTGCCGTTTATGTTATATTTTCGAAAATGTAGAATGTTAAAAATGGTAAAGAAGGGTATTTTTTCCTCCGCACACACATTTCTCCATCAAAAAGCACTGATTGTGAGAGGAAATCTATTTGTAATATCTGTACCCTAACAACACACATGTTCAAAAGATGACTAGAGGACATCCACAGGATGTTTTATATCCTCCGCATGACCTCTAGACGTCTTTTGAACATACGTATTGTTAGGGTATATAAAGTGATTTATATTTTTTATTTTAAATTTTGATTTTATATTACATTACTGTAATTATACAGGATGTCTATAAAGTCTGTCCTCCTATATTTCAGAAACGGTTCAAAATTATGAAAAACATAAATTGAAATTTTTGAGGTGGGGTCTCTCTGGGGCACCTCCTTGAGGAGACAACTCCCCCAACCCCCTTAAGAGCTTCTCGAAATGATCGATGAAAAATGTAAATCGGATACGTATTTCGCGGTTTCTCATAATTTTGAACCGTTTCCAAAATATACAGATTTTGGTTGCATTTCGATATTCACTGCCAGTACAGAAAATCTATAGTGTACGTAACGTAAACTATAGATTTTCAGTACCGGCAGTGAATATTGGAACGCAGTCTTTATAGACACTATAGTGAGACGGCCGTCTCACTTGATGTGTGCTAATTGCTATAAGAAATGAAATAACAAAATGGCAAAGACTGAAATGCGGTTGTACATCAACTCAGGGAACAGACGCGTGTTAATTGGATAAGGTCTTATGTTATCTTGTATTGAAATAATGTTATGTGAAAAATAGCATGCACACATGCTTCTACCAAAGATGACTGAAGCAACACTGCTCTTTATAAGACCAAAAACAAAAAAAGTATGATATGTAGCGGCGAGAAATTATGTATATATAGGTGAGAGATATTATCGAAAATTTTTTATCATTTAGTAGTTATTATGTAAAAATATTTAAGACAAGAAAAGTGCGCAGATGTAACAGATTATATCTATATATTTCAGAGAAAGCATTTCGCGTGCTATAGAGAATCATATTCTTTAAAAAAAAGGATATATATACATATATATTTCTATGTAGATTCATATACATAAAAGTCATTACATTTCATAAGTTATATAAGTTGTTTGAAACAGAACAAATCGATTTTTTCTAGTGATATATTACTTGTTATGTTAGGATGCTCCTTCGAAGTTTGTAGGTGACAAATAAGAATCTAAATAAATTATATGTAGAAAGTTATATACAGGCTGAAGAGCTTGTATCTTGCGAGAATATTGTTCTGTTGCTGTAAGTACGTAAAAGAAAAAGAGAACCTACCTTTGTTACCACTGGTTGTTAAATATACGATGCAATATTTTATATAACGCAGCTGTTTTGTTATTTCCAGATCACCGCCATGCACCGTTCTATTTAAAACAAGGAAAGAATATCTTGAATCTTTTTGATAAATTCTAAATTTGAAGGATTGTATTTCAGTTCACTAAGAAACTAGTTTCATTAACATAACAGATTGTGAAAATATGTAATTTTAATGAAGATATTTTTGTGACAAATATTTTTATCATCAGTATGCATCAAAATATTGAAATAAAACAGAATTTTAAATTTTGCAGAAACATATAGTAACATATAATATTGGTTAATGAGCATATGAAAAGTTGTGGTTTTTTAATTTTTTAGAAATATAATTATATACCATGCAGATAATCTGTTGTAAGAGAAACTTATGGTTTAAATTACTAAATTATAAAGAAAGTTACCTTTATTATTTTACATTTGATTTCTTCGCTTTTTGACCGTGAATTTTCTATTACATTCGAAGCATATCATACAATTAAAATAAATAAATCATAGAATAATACGTATGTGTCAAAGAGGTTGACAACAATTTAACAATCCCGCCAAATTCAACGTCACATACACATTCGATTACTCACGTCGCGATTGGCTGTACATCTTGTTCAATTTTAGTCGGCGACGAATCGGATCGCGCGTCATTACGCTCTCCTGCCCGACTCGGGGCCCGCGATTGGTCGATGGCGCGATGCGACGACCAATGGCGGCGCGCGGCGCATCTTGCCGCGTAATGGCGGTGCTAAACCCGGCTTGTGATGTGGCGTCGCGTCGCATACTCTGATACTCTGATCGTTGGCTGCGCCAATCGCGACCGGTAGTGCGCATTTAGCTGCGAGGTGTGCGGGGTGTCTATCCGATCACGAATAAAACCACACGCGCTCGCACGGACGTGCTAACGCTTTCGGCAACGATTCGCCAATACGTACGCGTCCGGTGTTCCTTCCCTCTTTTTTCTGGCCCTCGGTGTCTCGAAAGCGTCCTGCTTTTGAGTCTTGAAACGCGACGCGTAACCGGAGACCCCACGGAATAGAGAGAAAGAGAGAGGCCACCGTACCGCAACTTCTTTAACAACGAAGATGTCGACTAAATCGAGCAAGAAGACGGCGGCGGCGGCAGCCGCGGCAGCGGCCGCCGCGTCCTCCGCGACGACCGCCGCCTCGTCGTCGTCGAGTAGCATTCAATCGCCGCCGAGCACATCGACGCCGATCGTTGGTCGACGGCCCGGCAGCCCGCTCAGCCCTACTCGCTACTCGCGGATGCAAGAGAAGCAGGATCTACAGAATCTCAACGATCGTCTGGCATGTTACATCGAGAAGGTACGTCATCTCGAGACGGAGAACTCCCGGTTGACGCGGGAGGTGCAAACCACCCAGGAGACCGTCACTCGGGAGGTGTCCAACATCAAGGCTATGTACGAACACGAGCTCTCCGACGCGCGGAAGTTGCTCGACGAGACGGCAAGGGAACGCGCCAAGCTCGAGATCGACACCAAACGCCTGTGGGATGATAACGAAGATTTTAAGAGCAAGTAAGTGATACTATATATTCTGTGTAGGAATTTTAAGCATAATTTTTTTTTTTTTTTTTTTTTTTTTTATTATATTATTTGTTTAATGAAAATAATTGCACTGGAATAATAAAGCTCGGATTTCAATATTATAGAGCCCGAGACATTTTGTTTAGTCGAGTTGCTGTATTTTTAATATTTCTCTATTCTTAAATTCATTCGGTCCCCGTAAACTGTATGCATTCCTTTTGCGCGCAGTTTCTCTACTACTAGCGCGACACATATATAATTTCAAAAGTTTGATTATATTTACTACGAGATTGATCTTATGACACATAGGAATGCAATGTATATCTGAATATATTATGAATAATTTATATCGTAGAGATATTAATGCTTCTTGAAATAGCGATGATGTAAACTTAGAGAGAGGGGGGACAGGGTTAAGTATATTTATATATTATGAGGTCTTTTTCATATTTTGTTATAGCATGCACGATTGTTTGAATTTTAAATTGATATAGAATTTTATTATTGCTGTGAATATTATTTTAATAATCGAGAAGTACAGACTTTTTATTATTAAAAAAAAAATAAACAATAATATGATCGAGTAGCAATTAAGTCAGCACGGGAATTAGTGCGCGTACATTATTTGTAATTTATTACAATATAACACTTATCAATTTACAGTAATAAATAACGGACGTTTCGACCCCTTTTTTTGGAGTCTTCTTCAGCGTGACATAGTTTTAATATTATTTTTTAAATTATTTTAAATTTTTTTAAATTATTTAATATTATTTCCTAAATATCACGCCGAAGAAGACTAAAAAAAAAGGGATCGAAACGTCCGTTATTTATTACTGTAAATTGATGAGTGGTATATTGTAATAAATTACAAATAATGTACGCGCACTAATTCCCGCGCTGACTCTTAATTGCTATTCGATCATATTATTGTTTATTTTATTATTTTGATATTCATATAAATGTAAAGGAAATCAGTGTTTTATATTTTGTTCACGAGAAGTACAGACTTTTTATTATTTAAAAAAAAAATAAACAATAATATGATCGAGTAGCAATTAAGTCAGCACGGGAATTAGTGCGCGTACATTATTTGTAATTTATTACAATATAACACTTATCAATTTACAGTAATAAATAACGGACGTTTCGACCCCTTTTTTTGGAGTCTTCTTCAGCGTGACATAGTTTTAATATTATTTTTTAAATTATTTTAAATTTTTTTAAATTATTTAATATTATTTCCTAAATATCACGCCGAAGAAGACTAAAAAAAAGGGATCGAAACGTCCGTTATTTATTACTGTAAATTGATGAGTGGTATATTGTAATAAATTACAAATAATGTACGCGCACTAATTCCCGCGCTGACTCTTAATTGCTATTCGATCATATTATTGTTTATTTTATTATTTTGATATTCATATAAATGTAAAGGAAATCAGTGTTTTATATTTTGTTCAATTTATATACAGGGTATCCCATTTTAAATAACGACTTCAAAGATCTCTTGAACAATGCATTTTAGAGAAAAATGTTTCAGATAAAAGTTGTAGTAAAGTATTTTTTCGTTAAATATTTTTGGAGTTATTTTATATCTTAATCTGACATATTTTGATATAAAAAATAAAATATCTCTAATAGTAAAATATTTAATTTTCGATAATCTTACCGTAATACTTTTATGTACAGAATAATGAGACAAATCAATTGGTATAAAAAACACAAATAATTGTTTAAAAAAAAATACATTGTAAATAAGTACATACTTTTTCTTAAAAACAATTATTTTCTTTATACCAATTGATTTGTCTCATTACTCTGTACATAAAAGTATTACGGTAAGATTATCGAAAACTAAATATTTTACGAGATATTTTATTTTT